AATGAGCATGGTTGTACGTCTTGGAGACAGTGTATATGGATGCTGTCTGTGGCTGATATGTAGGTTATTCCACTCCTCCTCCTCTGGCCTCCTTTGCCTTTAGCAGTAGAGGTTAAATCCTGGGGACTACATCTCCCAGACTCCTTTGCCATTAGCAGTGGTAATTGACATATTGGGTAGGTGAGAAGTAAGTGGAACTGTGCTAAAGAAGTTTCTGCTGAGGGGATAATGATGTGTGCCATTTCCTAGTCTTTTCCACCTGGCTGAAAGGCAAGTCATGACAGTGAAGTCAAAACCAGAGGTAAAAGGTCACTAGGATCACAGAGACACCCATACTGTGTCACCTAAGGTGCCTAGTGGTCACAGAAATGATGGGTGAGAAGCTGGAATGTGGCTCAGTTGGCTTTTACCCATGAAGTTCTGCATTAAAGCCTAAGTACCATATAAACCAGGTGTGGTGTGCAGGTGTGGTGCGCAGGTGTGATACACATCTGTAATCCTGCAGAGGCAGCAGAATCATAAACTCACAAGGCCATCTTTGGCCTTCATAGTGAGTTAGCAGCCCACCTGAATCCCTATCTCAAAAACAAGGCAGGTACTAGACAGACAGCTTGGCCTTAAGAACACCAGCTGCTCTTTCAGAGGACCTGAATTTGGTACCCAGCATCCAGGGGGTAGGGTTGGTGAGGCTGCAGACTGCCTGTAATTCCATCTCTTGGGGATCTACCCTCTTCTGGCATCAGCACACACATGGTATACACCCACATAGACATATGCACATAAACAAAAATAAAAAATATTTGTTAAACTCGAGCAAGGTAAAAAAATTCTATTTATTGGGATGCCTGTGTGTTGCCTTGGGCTTATGCATGTTCTGTCATTTTTGGCCGACACAGTATTTAATGCCATGAGTCTGAAACCCTTCCTTTAGTCATTAACATCGAGGGAGAGGAATAAAGGGTGACCTGGGACACAGTCTGGGTTCGGAAGTGTCTAGAGTTAAACCACAGGAGGGAGTCCCAGGGGAAATAGGAGTTGCCAAGGTAGGATGTGACAGGAGCAAGGTTGGAACCAGAAGCGGGTGGGGAAGGAAGGGAGGAGGGAGAGCCAGCAGGGGCCTCCAGGGCTCCCTTCCCCCCAGCTTCGCTGTCCTGGCCTGCTGTTCCCCCTCGGCCCCACCCTGGCCCCGGCCCCGCCCGCCCCACTGACAATATAGGGCAGCACTGGCTGTGACTTTCAGGCTTCGGCTGCCGACCCCCGACCATGCCAGCAGACCTCAGCGGCACCTGGAACCTTCTCAGCAGCGACAACTTCGAGGGCTACATGCTGGCCCTGGGTAGGACTCGAGGGTTGTGCCGCGTAAGGGGACAACGGAGGGGAACAAGGCTCTAGCGTCAGGTCTTGGGGTTGAGCGAAGGCAGCCTGTCCTGTCTTGTCCTGTCCTGTCCTGTCTGTTCCAGGTCCTCTGTCTCCCGTGGTTATGCTCTTGGCTGGTCAGTCCTGTTCTTGTCCCAGAGTTCCCACACCCGTCTTAGCCCCTCTGTCCATCCTCTTTCCTCTGTGCCTCCTGTCTCGTCTGCCGCCAGTAGTCCCTGCCCACCCCCTCATTAGTCTTCTGCATCCCTCAAATCTCAGGTGCGCTGGTATTCCTGTTTTTCCAATTCTGCGTGGGGACGGTCGGGACCAGCTTGGGTCTCCTGGGCAAGGCAGGGGCCGGGGCTCTGACCCAGGCACACATGAGCTACAATCTCGGGAATTCAGTTCCCCCTCCAGAGCAGAGCCTGCTCCACGGGTAATGAAGACCACTGCGGACTCCTGCAAATGAGCGGGCAGAATCAGCCTGAGCTGCCCATTCCTGCAGCAGGAGAGCTGAGCCCGGACCCTAAACTCGGTGGCCACCAGTCGGGTGCATGGCTCCACGAGAGGGGGTCTGATCACTGTCCCTGCTTTCCAAGGTCTCACAAAACGTTGCTGCCCTGGCAGGCTGAGTCCGTTCGGCTTGCTCTGATTTTACAGATTTGGCGGGTATCAGCATCTACTATTACATGCACGGTACTCTTGTCTGTTTGGCAGGGCTTGTTCGAGGATTTATTTGATTGGGTTTTTATTTGTCTGTCTCACGTTGTAGGTCAAGCTGGCCTGGACCTCCCTATGTAGACAAGGCTAGTCTCAGACTCCAGGAAATCCTCCTGTCTCAGCTTCCCAAGTATAAGGATTACAGGCCTAAGGTGCCATACCTTGGTATACTTGCTACTTAAACTCTTCCTTTTGCCTTCAAGTAATAGAACAGACTCCAGCCCTTAGGAAAAGCAATTTTTAAAAAGTCCTCTTGAGATGGCTCAGTTAAGCGTACTCACTAGACGCTTTTCAGAGGACCTGGGTTTGTTCCCAGATGTCCTGTTACAGGGAATCTGACGCCCTTGTCTGGCCACTGTGGGCACTGCACACATCACACCTGGTGCACAGAAACACAGGCAGGTATTCACACATACACATCAAATACATAGATAACATTTATAAAAATACTCTTGAGTCATAGAGTGTAGAGGCACACACCTTTAATCCCAGCACTTAGAAGGCAGAGGCAGGTGGATCTCTGTGAGTTCAAGGCCAGCCTGGTCTACAGAGTGAGTTTGAGGCCAGCCAAGGCTGTTACACAGAGAAACTCTGTCTCAAAAACCTACCAAAACAACAACAACAAAATCTTGAGCCAAGCATGATGGTGCACACCTGTAATCCAATCCTTGGAGATGGAGGCAAGAGAATCAGGAGTTGAATGTCACCTTCAACTCTACAAGTTCAAAGACAGCATAGGTTATGTAAGATCCTGTTTTAAAACAAATTGTCCTCTGACTTACACATACATACCCACACAAAAATGAAATAAATGTAAAGTATTAAAATAATAAGAACAATATCTCTCCAGGTATTGACTTTGCAACTCGTAAGGTCGCCAAGTTGCTGAAGCCACAGAAGGTGATTGAACAAAATGGGGATTCCTTTACCATCCACACGCACAGCAGCCTAAGGAACTATCTCGTTAAGTTCAAAGTTGGAGAAGAATTTGAGGAAGATAACAAAGGCCTGGATAACAGAAGATGCACAGTAAGAGTTAGGGTGTGGCTGGGTGGTAGGGCTCTTGCTTAGCATGCATGAGGCCCGGTGAGATTTCTATCACCCTAGAAAAAGAAAAGAAAAGAACCTAGGCTTGGGGCTGGAGAGAAGGCTCAGCAGTGAAGAGCACTGGCTGCTCTTGTAGAGAACCTGGGGTTCAATTCTCAGCACCCACAGGCTGCTCAGAACCATGTGTAACTCCAAGTCCAGGGACACCCTCTTCTGACCTCTGTGAGCACCAGGCATGCAATAGTACACATGCATACATGTAGGCAACACACACACACACACACAAAATTAAAAAATTTTAAATGTAACATAGGCTGTTAACTTCACAAGGTTAACTTGGCATGCATTCTACCTGGTGATATTTAGGGATGCTGCCAGAGCAAAGCATTGTTTTCTCTCTTCCTTCGTGCAGAGCTTGGTCACCTGGGAGAATGACAGACTCACTTGTGTACAGAAAGGGGAGAAGAAGAACAGAGGTTGGAGCCACTGGATTGAAGGGGGCCAGCTCCACCTGGTACCTACCACATTTTGTTCTTTAAAAAACATTTTTGGGCGGGGGAAGCTTAAATCTCTATTTCTTTATTTTTATTCCTCTGTGCGTATGTGTGTGTGTGTGTGTGTGTGTGTGTGTGTGTGTGTGTGTATGTGTGTGTACCTACATGTGTGTATTATGTGTACCACATGTATGCAGTATCTACAGAGACCAAAAGAGGGCACTGGATCCCCTTGGAACTGGAGCTACAGTGGTTGTGAGCTGCCCAGTGTTGGTGCAGGGAACTGCACCCTGGTCCTTTGCAAGAACACCAAGTACTCTCAACCACTCAGCCATCTTTCCATCCCCTTATTCTTGTTTTTATTACATATTTTTTTACTATTTTAAAAAATTGTCATAACAGTATATTTTGATCATATTTTTTTCTCCTTGCCTAAGTTCTCCCAAACTATCCCCATCTCCCTAACTACCTGATTTCATGTTCTTTCTCTGAAACCAAAATAAAACCCAAAAGAGAAAGAAGGAAGGAAGGAAGGAAGAAAGGGAGAAAGGAAGGAAGGAAGGAAGGAAGGAAGGAAGGAAGGAAGGAAGGAAGGAAGGAAGGAAGGAAGACCAAACCATAACATCAAAAACATGGAGTCGGTTTTGCATTGATCCACTTCGCCTGAGCACGAGGTCTGCCCTGAGCGTGGTTAAGAATACCCAGTACTATTGGAGAAAACTGGTTTCCCCTTTCCCAGAAGTTATCAATTGCAAATAGGTTCTTGGCTAGGGCCGAGACTTTGGCCTTTTTTTCTCCCTGGTGGGATTTTTGTCTGGCTTGAGTTTATATAGGTCTTATGCATGCTGTCATGGTCTCTGTGAGTTCATACATGCATCAGCCTGTTGTATTTTTGGAGATGCTGTTTCCTTGGAGTTTCTGCCCTTCGGCATAGATCCTGAGCCTCAAGGGGTGTCTTAAGGCATCCCCTTCAGTACTGAGGGCTCCCAGGTCTCTGTCTGCCCATTGTCCAACTGTGGGTCTCTTGTGTTAATTACCGTTTACTTCAAGAGGAAGTTGCTCTGATGAGGGTTGAGAACGACACTGACATGAGTCCCAGATGAGTGTAGCCTTTGTTCTGATATTTCAAGCAATGATAGCAATATTAAAAGAAATATTAAAAAAAAAAGGAAACCAACATTTTTTAACTTTTGCAAGTTACCTTTGTAACTTCCTGCTTAGAATAGTCTGCTTTTTTATTCAATATAAGAATATTTTCAGAGGGCTGGAGAGATGGATCAGCGGTTAAGAGCACTGACTGTTCTTCCAGAGGTCCTGAGTTCAATTCCTAGCCACCACATGGTGGTGTACAATCATCTGTAATGGGATCTGGTGCCCTCTTCTGGCATGTAGGCAGAACACTGTATATATAATAGATTAAAAAAAAAATGTTTAAGGAATATTTTCGGGGGGAGGGTGCTAGAGAGATGGCTTAGCAATTAAGAGCACTGGCTACTCCTCCAGAGGTCCTGAGTTCAATTCCCAGCACCACATGGTGGCTCCCAGCCATCTGTTCTGTCTGATGCCCTCTTCTGGCCTGCAGGCATAGATGCAAATACAGCACTCAGATGCATAAATAAATAAATAAATAAATAAATAAATAAATAAATAAATAAATATTTTTTTAAAAAGAACATTTTCTGGGACTGGAACCATGGCTCTGTGGTTAAGAGCACTGGTTGCTCTTCCAGAGGACCCTGGTTCAATTCCCAGCACCCACATAGTGGGTCACAACTGTCTACAACTCAATCCTAGGGGATCTAATCCCTCTTCTGCCCTCCTCAGGCTCTTCAGGTATGTGTGCACAGGCATCAATGCAGACAAGACACCCATGCACATAAAAATAGGAACATATGCTAGGTGCTGGTGGCAGATGCTTTTCATCCCAGCATTTGGGAGGCAGGAGCAGGTGGATCCCTGTAAGCTCAAGAATGTCTGGGTCTACAGAGCAAGTTCCAGCACAGCCAGAGCTACACAGAGAGATGCTGTCTTGAAAAACCAAAAAAAAAAAAAAAGGACATATATAATTTTTTAAAAGAACCTTTTACAGGCCTGGAGATGGCTCAGTGAAGAGCAGATGAGAAGGTAGTGACCTCCAGCACTCACATGGTGGCTCACAGCTTCCTCTAACTCCAGCTCTCGGGGATTCAACACCCTTTTCTGGCCTCTGAGTGTAACAGTACTCATGTGCATATACCCCCACACAGACACACATATACACAGATCTAAAAAATAAAAATAAATCTTAAAAAAAAAAGAATATTGTATAGCTTTCTAGATAGTTTTTATGTTGAATTCACCATGTAGTTTTATTTTTTACTTTATTTCTTTGGGGTTTTTGTTTTTGTTTTGTTGTTGTTTTATTTTGAGACAGGGTCTCTTTACAAAGTCCTGGCTATCCTGGAATTCACTATGTACACCAGACTGGCCTCAAACTCAGAGAGATCTGTCTGCCTCTGCCTCCTGAGCACTGGGATTAAAGGCATGTGACACCACTCTAGGCTGAATTTACCACGTATTTTTAAAATATATATATTAAGGTAGTGAACTGGCTGCTTCATGTTCCATCTGGCTGATGGACCAACATTTTAATAAAACACATCCTTCCGCCGGGTGTTGGTGGCTCACGCCTTTAATCCCAGCACTTGGGAGGCAGAGCCAGGCAGGTCTTTGTGAGTTCGAGGCCATCCTGGTCTACAGAGCAAGATCCAGGAAAGGCGCAAAGCTACACAGAGAAACTGTCTCAAAAAAACAACAACAAAAACAAAAACACCACGTCCTTGAGTTAAGTATCTATTTTAGGGGCTGGCAGTGTAGCTTGGCTGGTAGAGTGCTTGCTCAGAACGTGCAAAACCCTAAATTTGAGCCCACATCTGTAAGCTTAGCACTCGGGAGATGGCAGCAGGTGCATCAGAAGTTCAAGGTCATCTTCAGCTACACAGCAAGTTGGAGATTAAGTTGGACTATATGAAATCCCAGGAATAATAGAGATTCAGGGCTGAGTATGCTATTGATAAAACTCAAGCCGGGCGGTGGTGGCACATGCCTTTAATCCCAGCACTCGGGAGGCAGAAGCAACCAGATCTCTGTGAGTTCAAGGCCAGCCTAGTCTACAAAGCGAGTTCCAGGACAGCCAGGACTGTTACACAGAGGAACCCTGTCTCAAAAAACAAAACAAAACAAACAAACAAACAAAACAAAAAACAAAAAAAAAAAAACCTCAAGCCCATAGTGAGTCCTGTCCCCTCGAGAGGCATGGCTCGGTCACTGCCTCTTGCTGCTTTGTGACCTTACTCCTCCTCACAGAGGGGGCGTTGATTTGTTTTACAACCAGAATTTCATGACTGCAGGTTACAGCCCAAACTAATCAATAGTTCTAAAACACAATCTAGAAGGTATAAAATTCTACTTTTAGAAAGTATAAAACTGGCCGGCGGTGGTGGCGCACGCCTTTAATCCCAGCACTCGGGAGGCAGAGCCAGGCGGATCTCTGTGAATTCGAGGCCAGCCTGGTCTGCAGAGTGAGTTCCAGGAAAGGCACAAAGCTACACAGAGAAACCCTGTCTCGAAAAAGAAAAAAAAAAAAAAGAAAGTATAAAACTGAACCATGTATGGTGGCCTTTAATCCCAGTGCTTGGGAGGCAGAGGCTAGCAGATCTTTGTGAGTTTGAAACCATCCTGGTCTACATAGTGAGTTCCAGGATAGCCAGGGCTGTGTAGAGAGACCTGTCTCAAGAAAAAGTATAAAACTGTGCCTTTGTTTGCGGATTTACACTAACTCCAGGAGGGACCGTCAGGATTAAATTGTTGACACCCATTTGGTGTCAGAGTGGGAGAAGAAAGGGCAGAGAAGACCCTGCATTTGGTGTGGGAAGGCAGAACCCCCAAACATTCGGTGTCAGACATGCTGAGAATGTACACCAAGTTCTCTTTTCTTCTTTTCTCCCTCGCTATCACAGGAAATGTTCTGTGAAGGCCAGGTGTGCAAACAAACTTTCCAGAGAGCCTGATCCGGATCCAGCGACAGAGCCCTCTGGAGGCTACCGTTCAGTGCTGAATTGCCTTGCAGAAGGAAGGGGTGTTATCTGCCTTGCTTAGACGAAGGGCCTTGTGATTGGAAAGATGTCACCCAGCCTGGACTAGAAGCTGTGTGACTACAGGACAACTTCAGCTGCAATAAACCTGTCCAAGCCATGCTGGTGGTTTTTCCTTCCGAATTGAACAATCTCTCTCTGTTCTGGAACTCACTATTTAGACCAGGTTAGCCTTGAACTCACATAGCCTGCCTCTGCCTCCTGAGTGCTTGGTTTGAAGGCGTATGCTACCAGGCCAAGCCCAACAGGACCCATTTTTTTAAAAGAACGTTTGCAAGCCTGCTCTGTGTGCAACGTACACACCAAGGAACGGGACATAATTCCTGAGAGAAAGGTTAACGAAATGGCTTCGGAAGATGTGCAGTTGGCGGCACTGGCAAGGTGTGGGGTAGTAGACGTGGCCTTTATGCAGGTGCCAACAGGAAGCATTTTAGGTGAAATGCCAGAGGGGAGTGTAACAAGTTTTTTTGTTGTTGTTGTTTTGTTTTGTTTTTTTTTTGTTTGGTTTTTTTTGTTGTTGTTTTTTCGAGACAGGGTTTCTCTGTGTAGCTTTGCGCCTTTTCCTGGAACTCACTTTGTAGCCCAGGCTGGCCTCGAACTCACAGAGATCCGCCTGGCTCTGCCTCCCGAGTGCTGGGATTAAAGGTGTGAGCCACACCGCCCAACTTTGTTTTTGTTTTTACTGCCAGCTCCCAAATAATGAAATACGGAAACTTTTATTAAGTATAAAAGCTTGGCCTTAGCTTAGGCTTGTTCCCAACTAGCTCTAAAAACTTAAATTAATCTGGGCAGTAGTGGTACCTGCCTGTAATCCTAGCACTTGGGAGGCAGATCTCTGTGATTTGGGGGCCAGCCTACTCTACAAAGCAAGTTCCAGAACAGCCAGAGCTGTTACACAGAGAAACCCTGTTTTGAAAAACCAAAAAACAAACAAACAAAAAACCCACTTAAATGAGCCTAACCCATTTATATTAATCTATGCCCTACCAAATGGCTGTTACCTCTCCTCAGTACAGCATGGCCTACTTCCTCCGAGTCTCTCTGCTGAATCCTGTGCCCTTCAGATTCTTCCCAGAGTTCCTCTCTGTCTGGAATTCCCACCTATCCTCTCCTTCCTAACTATTAGCCATTCAGCTCTTTATTAATTCAATCAGGAGGTGCCTTAGTCAGGCGAGGTGAAACAGAGGTGCATCTTCACACAGTACCAAAAGGTCAGAAAGATTATCCCACAGCAGGAAAGTTCAAGGGGTTGTTTTTCTATGGTGTTTCATGCAGCCTTGAATTGTAATCCTTCAGCCTCAGTCTCCCGGGTGCTGGGAGTACAGGCAGGCTACTTCCCATCTGGCACACCTGCACATGCAGCCTGGGATGACGCTTGAAGGACTGCGACGTTAACAGAGCACAGGGTATATGTGGGTAGGGTGAGAAGAAATGGAAATAGCAAGAGAGGTCATCAAAGACAAACCCTGAATGACAAATTCTAAAAGTCAGGGTTTGGGTGGCTGGAGAGATGGCTAAGCGCGTGACTGCTCTTCCAGGGGACCCGGATTTAATTCCCATTATCCACATGGCAGCTAACAACTCTCTGTAACTCCTGTTCCAGGGTGTCCTATACCTTTTTCTGTCCTCTGTGGGCACCAGCATGCATGTGGTACATAGATGTACATGCAGGCAAAATTCCCATACATATACATGAAAATCTGGGGTCAGCAAGATTGCTGAGTGGGTAAAGGCTCTTGTTCTCAAGCCTGACAATATAAACTCAATCCCCAAATGGTGGAAGGAGAGAACTGACCCCTACAAGTTGTTCTGTGACCTCCACATGTGTATCATGGCATGCATGTACACACACACACACACACACACACACACACACACACACACACACGCACATGCAAACGTGCTCACACACACACACACACACACACACACACACACGCACATGCAAACGTGCTCACACACACACCACCACCACACACCCTCTCCTTGGTGGGCTGTAACCTGGAATTGTGAGTCAGCACAAACCCTTCCTTCTTTATCTTGCTATCCTCAGGGTATTTTGTCACAGTAATAGAAGGGTAACCGAGGCAGTAGGGGACCTGCATGATCGGAGTGGAGATAGGGTTGGTGGTGGGGCAGGCACTCAGAGATGCAGATAACAAAGTTCCGGCAGAAAACCCTGTTTGGGAAAGTCCCAGATCAGCAAGGAGGGACTGAAGTCTGAGAAAAGCTGCCATTTTAGATGCAGAATCCGCAGCCCAGGGTAACTGGTGAGTAATGCTGGATGGAAGGTGAGGACTGTGGGAACTTTCCAGACGCTGAAGGAGGAGGGGGGAATTCCAAAGGGTTGAAGGGAAAGTGATGAGGGATGAAAGCCAGGCTGCAGCTTAGTGAGGGGGCGGGGAGGCTGCACAGCTGCGGAGTAGACAGAGGGCTGCAGGGAGATGTGCATGAGTTCTCAAGCCCATGGGACTCCCAGACAGATGGGCACACCATTCTGGAGCCTGGCTGAGTCCTAGCATCAGAGTCTCAACACAATTAAGTTCCCTGTCATGGTGGCCAACATAAAGACAGTGTACACACAGTAGTTAAGGATAGTTTATGGACATTTTAACTTTTTTTGTTTTTTTTCCCAGACAGGGTTTCTCTGTGTAACAGCCCTGGCTGTCCTGAAACTCACATTGGAGACCAGGCTGACTTCAAATTCACAGAGATCCACCTGTCTCTGTCACTCGAGTACTGGGATTAAAGGCATGCACCACCACTCCCGGCGGTATTTTAACATTTTATTTGAAAATATATAAAAGATCGGGAGGCAGAGACAGGTGGATCTCTGAGAGTTCGAGGCCAGCCTGGTCTACAGAGCGAGTTCCAGGATAGGCTCCAAAGCTACAGAAAAACTTTGTCTCTGAAAAAAAAGAAAGGAAGGAAGGAAGGAAGGAAGGAAGGAAGGAAAGAAGGAAGAAGAAAGAAAAATATATGAAAGAAACATTATGTTGGCCACTTCACAGAAAATGGTAATTGTGCTGAAACTCGAGAAACAGAGGTCTAAACCAGGCACTCTTTTTGTCCCACATCAGGATGATTTTCCCGTCTTTCTATCCTGCCTCAGTGGGACTCAGTAAAAATGTAGGGAAACAGCAGACAGATTAGAACCATGGGACTCAAGCGTCTGAGGCCTCAGCCCCCGCGGTTTATGCTTGGAAATATCCGAATTCCTTCAGGAGCCAAAGGAAGGACTTCCGTGGAGGCAGTGATGTGATAGCTATGTCAGGCTGTGGATGCAACTTCCCTCCCATGGCTTTTCTTCCTTCCCTGCAAGCTGGCGCCAGCTGTCGCGGCTGGTAGGGCTCAGACTGGAGCCAGCGGCCACAGCGAGTTTCAACCCGAAGCGTCCACCAGGGGGACTTCGGTGTGCAGGGCTGAGAAGGACTGCCACGTGTCCGGGTGAGGACTGCGGGAAGCCGCGGGACACCGCCGAGACTCGGTCATTCCCCAAAGAGGGGGTGCGCTGTCTGTGGGCCGCGTGCGAAGCCGCAATGACACCGAGAAAAGGCAGCTTTTATGGAATAAAAGAAGCAGCTTCTCGCTAGGCCGCTTCTGCAAGGTATCTGAACCCACCCAGCTCTCCTGGGAGGATCAAGAATTCCAGCTTGCAGCCTGGACTCCAAAGGGGTTGGAGAACAATGGGAAGTCTGTGGTTAGGGAGGTGACCTGCAATTCTCCACGGGGACACCCGAGGGGAAGCAGAGAGGGCACTTGGTCCTTGGTTTTAGTTAAAATTTATTTATTCCAGCCCCAGTAGGGATATATAGACCCTGTCTAAAAAAACGATGATTAATAGCAGGCAGCTAATAACAATTATTTAAAAAAAAGCTTTAGTTCACACACGCACTTGCGCACATTCGCACACATATATCCTTTTTGCAGCGAGGGCTTGAAGACAAGGTCTCATTTTGTAGCTCTGGCTAACTTGGAACTCACTGTAGACCAAGCTGGCTTTAAACACTCAGAGATTCACTTGCCTTTGCCTCCCTACTGCTGGTATTAAAGATACCCAGAGCGCCACCACAAGCGGTGGCGCACGCCTTTAATCCCAGCCTTCGGGAGGCAGAGCCTGGCGGATCTCTGTGAGTTCGAGGCCAGTCTGGGTTACTAAGTGAGTTCCAGGAAAGGCGCAAAGCTACACAGAGAAACCTTCCCTGTCTCAAAAAACAACAACAACAACAACAAAAAAAAAACAACGATATACCCATAGTGCATGCCTTTAATCATAGCACTTGGGAGGCAGAGGCCAGCCTGGTCTACAGAGCTAGTTTCAGGACAGGCTCCAAAGTCACACACAGAAACCCTGTCTCAAAAACAAAAAAAACAAAACAAAAAAAAAAAAAAAAGTGGCACCATGCTCAGTTGTTTTTTGCTTTTGTTTGTTTGTTTGTTTTTAATTGTGGTAAAAATACATCTATCAGGGTCAGGAAGATGGCTCAGCACACAAAGTCACTTGCCACTAAGCCTAACAACTTGAGTGTGACATCTGGAATCCACATGTTAGAAGGAGAGAAATGAGTTCTGAAGGTTGTCCTCTGACCTCCACATCTGTGTTAGGACATGCATACAAATAATAAATAGATAAGTGTAAAAAAACACATAGGGTCAAGTAAGGCTTAGAGATATAATGCCAACGTGGAAATGTGCTATCTCCATGGTAGCACACTGGGCTAGCATGCAGAGGCCCTGGGTTCAAGCAAGCATTGCAGACAACAAAAAGCACATAAAACTGACCATGTTGGCCACTTTAAACAATACAAATGGGCAGCATTAAGAACATTCATACTGGCCAGGCAGTGGTGGTACATACTTTTAATCCCAGCACCCAGGGAGGCAGAGGCAAGTGGATCTCGGAGTTTGAGGCCAGCCTGGTGTACAGAGTGAGTTCCAGGATAGCCAGGGCTACACAGAGAAATGCTGTCTTGAAAAACCAAACCAAACTAAACCAAACAAACAAACTAAAAAGCAAAAACATTCATATTGCTGAGTATAGTGTGCATTCCTTTAATCCCAGCACTCAGGAGGCAGAGTCAGGTGGATCTCTGAGTTT